GATATCTACGGAATCCAACATGAGGAGTTTTGTGCTTTGAATGCGTCAAACGTCCTGCGTAACAGGAGGATTATAAAGACGTGTATCAGGCACGAAACGAATCATGTACTGGATTGTAGATAATCAAGACGGGATTTATACCTTTGATAACTCCTATTCTTCTCTATATTTTGATGAGAGTTTGTCTAGGTTTTATAGGATAATCACATGCATTCATAGGCATTCTAGGCGTGTTAGGATACAAAACCCGGTTGTGCTCTAGTTTTGCAGAGTTACAGGTTTCGGAGATGATTGGACTCGAAAAGGAACTAATTGGAGCGTTAAAGGAGAAGTCCGGATGAGATACTCATGTTGCGACATCAATAACTTTCTCTACAGAGGTTCAAATCGTGTTGTACCATTGGAAAGAGCACTTCAAGAGCTTCGCGTAGACACCAAAATCGCGTAAATCCGACACTGGAGCAGAAAGTTACGAGCAAAATCGTGAAGGCCAGAAAACTGCCAGCGCAGGGCCGGATCCAACTGGATCCGGTCCGGATCAAGGACGCAGAATTCGACCCCAGGGATCTGGATCCGGTCCGGATCCACCTGGAATCGGTCCGGATCCAGTCTAAAACCCTGTTTCGCGATTTTCAATATGGCTTAATCGATCTAGGGTTGATGATAGCGTTCTTCATGCATCTAGGGTTAACTTGAATAGATCGAGAGATTGACGAGTTACTCTGTATATAGTGATTAGTGGACCGAGAGGTGAATTCTCTATTATCGTTGCTTGATGATTCCCGAATACAAGTCATAATCGTTATTCATGCATGCTTAGTAAATACCCATACACGCGAATACGATCCCGACGCCCGTAGTCATCCTTGTTTGATAGGTCACTTGTTTTTATTTACTTTCTTATATTGCTTACCATTGATTCTACATATTTCCACCATCACTTGCTTGTTTGCTTTGATCTATTTTCGATCTAGATTTGGATTTAGCAACCGGTCCTCGTGTTCGACCCCGTGTTACGACGATCCGTATCCTTGCGGTGAGTTGTGAATCGGGTTATAAATTCTAGACTCGGTACACACGTATCACGAGTCTCTGTGTTATTTTTCGGGTAACGTTTGTTTTTCTATGAGCGTTCATACCGACATACGAGAGATAAACGACATTTTCCGAGGGACGACGATTGGATAGATTCTGGTTCATAGAGTGCATGAGAGCTCTTGCGTTTGACGTAAGTTAACTTCATTGCGAGCGAACGAATTCCGCAGAGCTAAGTTCCTCTATCACTCTTATTAGTTCTTTCCATACGTTGTTTTCGATTCTACCTTTTCGGGCGAGAGTCTACACCGTGGACGGTGTATGGTTCAAGTCTGGGGGGGTGGATAGATCCTTCATCCATTCAGGCCTATCTATTTAGGATTGCATTTAGTTTAGGTGCATCTTATCATGGCATATAGATTTAGGAAAATTTCCACTTTTGCATATCACTTTGCATTAGTTGCATTCACACGTTTTCTTTTTTTCCATATAGACGATTTTTGTTAGGTTTGCATGATTGCATATGACATATAGATATAGGTTCATATAGGTTCACGTGCATACCTCGAAAACCCGTTTTGAACATCATTTGGAGGATTTGTGAGATGATAGAGTAGGAACATCTTGATGATCTAGTGACTTTGTAGAGCGTGGTTGAACCGTGTCGAATTGATAGTTCTCCAGACTTTCTATATATAGTTTGTGGGGTGAGGTTGCTGTTTGGAACCTACGGAGTTGATACGACCATATCCAGGTTATATGTTTCTTGTAGAACCTTTTCCGAGACTTGTAGGTCGATGAAATCTAGTTCAAAAATTGCCTTGGGAAAATAAAGCATCTCGACACTCCGCTGTCGGAATCTCGTCAACGAAAATCGTTCGAGGACATGAGTGCATCGATTGATGGTTCGGGTCCAAGTTGTGGGTCAGACATCGCATCAAAAGAAAAAAATATATAAATAAAAGAGAAAAGAAAAGAAAGAGAGAAAACGATGTCCTTCAACTTCAACGTCCTAGAAAACCGAGGTGCTAGCGTTCATTAAAGAAATTCTACAAAAAGGTAAAAATCCAGGTACATAGTAGAACTAAGATCGAATAGGCTAAATTGAGATAAGGATATGTTCAGAAATAGGCTTGGTGAGTTGTAGAGATTCTAACGGGTTCTAGGTAGCAATAAAAATCCCATGGCTAGGTAGATTAGTCTTTGGTAGGAAGATCATAGTAGACCGGTTTGAGTACGATTCTCGGGAAACTAGTATTGGATGGATGTTTCGCTTTTGATTTCTCGCGATGATACTATTTGATGTTCGTCATTCCCTATTTTGCAGATTTTATTCCTTCGTTCTTTACTCGAGGACGAGCAAAGGTTTAAGTCTGGGGGATTTGATAACTCCTATTCTTCTCTATATTTTGATGAGAGTTTGTCTAGGTTTTACAGGATAATCACATGCATTCATAGACATTCTAGGCGTGTTAGGATTCTAGGCGTGTTAGGACACAAAACCCGGTTGTGCTTTAGTTTTGCAGAGTTACAGGTTTCGGAGATGATTGGACTCGAAAAGGAGCTATTTGGAGCGTTAAAGGAGAAGTCCGGATGAGATACTCATGTTGCGACATCAATAACTTTCTCTACAGAGGTTCAAATCGTGCGAGACTTATACCATTGGAAAGAGCAGAGCTTCGCGTAGACACCAAAATCGCGTAAATCTGACACTGGAGCAGAGAGTTATGAGCGAATTCGTGAAGACCAGAAAACTGCCAGCGCAGGGCCGATTTCAGTTGAAATCGGTCCGGATCAGGAACGCACAACTCGACCCCAGGAATCTGGATCCGGTCCGGATCCATCTGGAATCGGTCCGGATACAGCCAGAAACCCTAATTCGCGATTTTCAGCATTGGAATGGGATTAGAACTCTTGGGAGCCACCCTAGGGTTATAAAAAGCCCTAGCCACGTCCTAGAACAGAGGAACCTCAGAGAGAACACTTAGATACACACTTTTGGAGAGCCTTTGGTGAGAGAAGAATAGAAGTTCACGGGATTTCGAGAAGAAGAAGGAAGATTCGATCGTGGAGACTACACATCTGCATGAGATTTTCTTTCCTCTCTTTTACCTCTTTTCTTATGTGCTTTTTGTTATTTTCTATGAACCGTGAGTAGATCCACGACTATGGGTTAGGGATTCGTTTGTGTTTTGGGTATGTTTGAACCCTAACTTGGATTTCGGTTTTGATTTGATTCGGTTCTATTGATTTGCACTTTTATTGGATTGATGTTTGCTAACCCCTTGATCAATTATCTTGGATTCTGAACCACATAGAGATATGGGTTTGTTTCGGATCAAAATCAATAGGATAGATCGTATTATTCACACAGAGATATGGCTTAATCGATCTAGGGCTGATGATAGCGTTCTTCATACATCTAGGGTTAACTTGAATAGATCGAGAGATTGACGAGTTACTCTGTAGGTAGGGAGTTAGTAGACCGAGAGGTGAATTCTCCATCTTTGTTGCTTGATGATTCCCGAATACAAGTCATAATCGTTATTCATGCATGCTTAGTAAATACCCATACACGCGAATACGATCCCGACGCCCGTAGTCATCCTTGTTTGATAGGTTACTCGTTTACATTGCTTTCTTATTTTATTTTCCATAGATTCTACATATTTCTACCATTACTTGCTTGCTTGCTTTGATCTATTTTCGATCTAGATTTGGATTTAGCAACCGGTCCTCGTGTTCGACCCCGTGTTACGACGATCCGTATCCTTGCGGTGAGTTGTGAATCGGGTTATATATTTTAGACTCGGTACACACGTATCAATACTCCACCCAGACAACATTCCGTAAGCGGGAAAATCACTAATTGTCCACATCAAAACCACTCTCAAGTTGAAGTTTTGTCTTGTTGAGACGTCATATGCATCAACACCTTGTTCCCATAACATCAATAATTCATCAATCAAAGGTTGGTGGAAGACGTCAAAACTCTTTTTCGGATGATTCAGTCTCGTAACTATGCTCCTGATTCTTTCTACAATATGTCTAAACTCATGAGATCATTAGACATGAGGGCTATCAAAATTGATGTGTGCCAGAACAACTGCATGATGTTTTGGTGTGGAGATGGTAAAGAGTTATCTAATTGTTGATTTTATGGAGCTGATCGATTCAAACCCAGGAAAAATGTGCAACGTAAAAGAATATCGTATAAACAGATGTTTTATTTGCCTATAGCAGACATATTGAAGAGATTATACGAATCTCACAAGACAGCATCTCAGATGCGTTGGCACAGAGAACATGTATCGGATTCAGGAAACATGCGTCATCCATCAGACGGTAAAGCATGGAAGCATTTTATCCACCTATATCCTGATTTTGCTTCTGATGTCAGAAATGTTTATCTGTGTTTATGCACCATGGATTTGCACCGTATGATCAATCTGGGAAACAATATTCGTTGTGGCCAATTGTGTTATCGTCATCTACCGACGGAAATGCGTTTGAAAAGAGAGTTTTTATTCTTGACGATATGAGGAAGGTAATCAGTCATCATCTAGCATACTTCGTCCATACAATTCTCCGTCAAATTGTAACTCGACTTCATGCCCATCATTCTTACAGAAAGAGATAATTGGGATAATCCTTCTGCGCAGCCATCATATATCGGTTGATTTGCAGCTTCCAACAAATCAAAAAATCTTTTTAATTCGTTGTTCGGTTCTTCGTCTTCCTTGTTATAACAAAACTCAGAAGAGAATGCATCTTGAACCATATCAACGTAACGATTAATTAGTTCGCTACTCCCAACAAATTTGTCGTTAATGGTAGGAAGATTAACAACATCGAGCGTTTCACCGTGATAAACTCATATAATAATTTGGAACAAAACCCCTTTTGAATAGATGTTTTAGAACCATCTCTGGAGTAAGAAATTTGGAATTCTCACATCGTGCACATGAACAATAGACTTTACCGGTTCTTACGCACTGATTCTAACTTGTCGCAAATTGTGTGAAATTCTACAACCCTTCTTCATATTGGATGCTCAAATTTCCCGTAGATGCATCGATTCTCTTGTATAACTATCTTTTGGAGTGATAAATATCACTTCCACTAGATGTCATGTTGTAAGTAAGATTTTAATTTTTTTTTTCAGAATTGAAGAGGAAAGAAGATGAGGGTGTGTTATATTAAATAACTTTTCAACGCAATTTCGTTGCTAACGTTCAGATTTTGCAAGAAATTGCGTTGCAAATTTAATAACCAGACACGTTTTGCAACGCAATTTCGTTGCTACAATAAAGTGAAAATCTGACACCGCAAAAATTCGTTGCTATAGGGCGTTAGCAACGCAATATGAGTTTTTTGGTCAAAATGTTGTGGAGGAAGTGGAACTGGGGGGGCTCGAGGGCGAAGGCTGCTGTTCTGGGATATGCTGATGAGGATGCGTATCACTTGTTTGATAAAGGAGAGGTATTGTGCTTCTCTGTTACAACTTACAATGACATTATGATAATATATATGAATGAAATCGACATCTGTAATTGGAACAGAAATATCGTTTATCTGTTTTCTCGTTAAGAAACATTTAGATTCAAAGCATTAGTCATGTATGATCTCCGGTTGATCTGACCTCAGTTTCCAGAGGAGTTTTCTAATACATTAAAGAATAATGAATTGCAAGTTTTGTCCTTTGTCTTTTCGCTTCTCATTGAAATTGTGTCCTGGTCTGCATTTGATAACTTCTTTCTCTATTCATCTATTCGTTGCATCTAATGCATTTATGCTGGTTTGTTCCAGGGTGCTGGTTTAGGATCTTTGTCTGACATGGACGATCTCGCGACGACTTTCGCAAAGGTCAGTTTGTTCATCCTTTACGTTCATGTAGATTATTACCTTGTCTGTTTTAAGACATGCCGATGAGTATGATGATCTTATCATGGTTGATTACTGTACCATGGCTTTCATACAGCAGTTGATCTCCCTTTTATGTAGACAAGCAAACCATTTTAACAAATATTTCGACTAAGCGCCCTTAAGAGCTGAAGGGCATGCCCTTCAAATTTTTTTTTTTGGCTTTGTGTGATGATATGCGGGTTCTGTTTTTGTTGTTTGTTTTATTTTTTTGCAGTTGAACAGGGATGTTACTGGACCCAAACATCCTCGAGTTATTGGTGATAGAGGATCAGGATCCTTCTCAAGGGAAAGTGAGTTAAATTCCTCAGATCAGTTTCTTTAATGATTTCCTACTCTTTTGTGTTTTCTGTCCCTTTACCTATCTATGATTGGTAACTTTACCTGTTTGTAATGCTCATTTTTCTGTTTTAAGAAAGATGACTTTTGTGACTAGCCGTTTCTAACAGTCAACTATATCCAGGCTCATCTGCTACAGATTGGACGCAAGATGCAGAGCTTTCAAGCTGGTTGGATCAGCATATGCTAGACGTACAAGCTCAGGAAGCTAAGAGATGGTCCTCACAGTCTCAATCATCCGAGCGTTCGAAACCTTTGTGCATGACATCCTCTTATCCTAAGCAGCAACCGCAGCTGCATCACTACAACAGCGAACCCATTATTGTACCAGAATCAACTTTCACATCTTTTCCACCTCCTGGTAGCCGATCTCAGCAGGCTTCATCCAGCCATCTGCATCGTGCTCCTTCTCTTCCTGGGACAACCCAGTTGGCCTTTGTTAGAATATAGATAGGAAATAGATAGAAAATACCAATTGTATTCCCAAACAGAGAGAAATACAACCTTTAACCAAGAGGCATACCCTCTCTTCCCATACAAAAGATTCAAGTTCTCAGATACCCCTTCTCAAATGAAAAACGTGAATATATAAGGGCTCACCCAGCTAACAGAATTGCTGAGGTGGCACCTGCAACAACCTAAAAGCTTGTACGCACGTAACATAACGTCCTCTGCATTTATTCTCTGCCAGGAATGTTCCTCTACTACTGCTCCTTTGCTGCTCCTGGCTTCTTCTTTGAAAACTGATCTGGCCCCACCTTTTCTGCTGCTCCTCCCCTTTCTTCTCGTTTCTTCTTCTTCTTCCTCGCATCAACCCGGAAAGGCTTATCAGCCTTATCTGCACCAAATGTTTCTCCACTGTCAAGTTCTAATCTTCATCTAACGGGATTGTCAAATGTGCCCCACTATGGTGGTAATTTGGCAAGATTTGCATCTGGTGGACCCACACTTAGTAACATGGTGCAACATCATTGGTTCAGTGACTCTGGCCTCCTACACGGGGATCATTCTGGACTATTACATAGTCTGGTGCAACAACAGAAACCCCACTTGCCCCCACGCAATGGTCTTCTGTCACCACATTTGATTTCCCTTCCGCAGAGACAATCCCTAGCCCATCTTGCCGCCTTTCAATCCCAGCTGTATAATTCATATCCTTCTCCGTCACGTAAAGCGCCATTTGGGGCTGGTGAAGGTCGGGAGCATAAACATAGGTCATCTCACAGAAGCCGAAAGAACAGAGGCATCTCCCAACAGGCGTCGGATATATCTAGTCAGAAAAGTGAGGGTGGATTGCAGTTTAGCTCAAAGTACATGACTTCGGAAGAAATAGAGAGTATTCTCAAAATGCAGCATTCCAATTCACACAGCAATGATCCTTATGTCAATGATTATTACCACCAAGCTCGGCTTGCTAAGAAGTCTGTTGGATCAAGGGAAAAACCTCACTTCTATCCTTCTCACCTGAAGGAGCACCAATCTCGGTCCCGTAATAGTACTGAGCAGCACCCACAAGTTCACATCGATGCTCTTGGGAAGATTACCCTTCCTTCCGTTCGTAGGCCGTTGGCCCTAGTTGAGGTCGACTCTCCTCGTGGGTCTAGTGAGGGAAGCTCAGATCATAAGGACTCTGAAAAGCATTTGGATCAGGAACCTCTGGTCGCTGCTAGGGTTACTATTGAAGACGCTCTTGGAGTTCTCCTGAGTTGAGCACCTCCGTCCTGGGGCTGATTAAATTGCAAAATCATTGCAAAGCGTTTGGATTTTGCAACGAAAATTGCGTTGTATGTAGCAACGAAATATTTTCGTCACAAAGACGTTGCAAATCGTTTTGGTTTCGTTGTAATAGCGTTGTAAAATTTTTCTTGCGTTGTTAATCGTTGCAAATTAGCAACGAACACTAAAAAAAAACCCAAATTCCAACCTGCAAATCCGTTGGAAATGGCCGAAAATCCGTTGGAATTCGATATTTCCAACGGATTTATCTGTTGGAAAAACGTCGTTAGAAACTCGAATCCGTTGGAAATCCGTGGCAAATTGCAAACGGAATCCGTTGGAATATTTCCACGGATTTCCAACGGTTTTTCCGTGGCAGAATTTCAACGGATTTCCAACGGATAGGCCCGTGGCAGAATTTCAACGACATTCCGACGGTATATCCGTGGCAAATTTCCTACGGCACCGTTAGAATATCCGTTAGAAATTTTCCAACGGATTTAACGGTTTTTGCCACGGAAATCCGTTGGAAAGGCCGTTGGAATCGTCGTCGAAATGTTACAACGGTTGTTCCAACGGCAATCCGTTGGAATGTTATAGTAATTCCAACGGCTATCCGTTGGAAAAATCGTTGGAAAACGAAAAAAAATAAATAAAAAATAAAATAAATATTTAAAAATAAAATAATTATTATTTTTTTTAAATATTTATTTTATTTTTTTATTATATTTATATTTATATATTATATAATAAATATATATATATATAATAAAACCAAAATAAAATTAAAATATTAAAAGAAAAAAATTGTTCAAATATTACAGAAAATATAAAATATTTTAAACAATATTAATTAATTGGCAGTACGGGTTTTTTCGTCTTCGGTGGTCCCGAGATTACGTGCCGTCGTTTCTGCTTCCGAGCTTGGCGGCGTATTGTGAAGTGGCCGATCACCCCGTATAAGCTCAACGATTTGTTCGAGGTTACTCACTTGTTGCCTCGTCGCCGCAAGCTGTTGCTCCAGTGTCTCGATCTGCCGTTGTTGTTCGAGATCGCTCTGCATGTCAGGAGGAATTGCTGCACCGAAATCATCGAACAAATCTCGCTGCAATCCTCCTAATCCATAGATGCGGCCCTTATTTGGAGAGACCGACTGAAAAATGAAGAAAATATTTAAAATTAAAATAAAATATTAAAATTTAATATTTAAAAATGAATTATTATAATTTTTACCCATCGGACTTTTTGTGTGTCTGAGCGACCAACTCTACAATTGATGGCGTTCTCCCCATTTCTTTCTCCTAATATATATATTAGTAACGCAATAAAAACTATATAATTAAAAATTAAAGTTTAAATAAATACCATCTCTTTTTGCCTCTTCTTGAATGATTTAGCACCGGAGGTATGACGATAAGGACCATCACCCTCGATTTTTTGGGCCAGACGACTTTGTTTCGCCTTAGAACTCTTGTTCTTGAAATGCTCTGAGTTCCAATGCGCAATAAGGTGCTGGTACAAGTCATTTGTTGCCCACTCCGGTGGCAGTCCATGCAGCTCATGACGGCGTTTGGCATTGTTCATCATTTGTTTCAACCGCTGCATACCGAGTTGGTTGAACTCTTTGTAAACTTTATCGGTGTACTTTTTTTTCTTTAAATGAAATTTTAAAAATATATACCGAGCTGGTTGAACTCTTTGTAAACTTTTTTCCACCGAAAAGATTGCTTTAAAAAAAATTAGAGTTAGTGATTAATTATTTTATTTAAATGAAATTTTAAAAATAGAACTTACGATGAACGAGTGCCACCAATAACGTTTGATGTGGTCCGGTACCCCCGTCCAACAGTAGTAGAGTTGAGGAAAATTAGACGTTATTATTGCCGTAAATTTTTTCCTCAACTCTTTATCGTTAACCCCGAACCTAATAATAACAATTTATTAATATTAATTAATAATATAATATAAAATAATTATTTAAATAAATTAATTTCAAAATTACCATAACGCCCCGTCAAGTTTGGGATCAATAAGCGGGACCTCGCGAGTCTCGAAGGAATTTAAAATTTCCTCTACCTCCTCCAAAGTAATATCAATCTCTGGGAATAGTGGGGGTGCATCCACCGGTTCCGGAAGACGAGAAGGTGGTGGTGGCGGTGGTGGCGGTATTCTAGAAGAACCCGCTAACAATCCTCCGGATCCAGAAAAGCACCTACGAAACTTGGGAAAAAAACAATAGTTAGTTATTAATATAAAATGGAATATAAATAAATATTAAAAAATTGAAAAACAATTACCATTTTGTGTTTTTTTTTGTCGATTTTTTTTCTCGTTTTTTTCTGGAGTGTTTGGGAGAGAATGAGTGATGGGGAAGAATGGGGCCGCTCGGTTTATATAATCGAAAATTCCAACGGATTTCCAACGGACATCCGTTGGAAATCTCTGGGCGCATTTAATGTTCTCTGATAAATTCCAACGGATGCCCGTTAGAATCGTCATTTCCAACCGGCATCCGTTGGAAATATTCTGAAATAACGCGATGGACGCCAAATGCGTCGAACGGATTTAATGCTTCAGAATTTCCAACGGATGCCCGTTGGAAATGACGATTCTAACGGGCATCCGTTGGAATATATCAGCGGATTCAATGTTTCAACCATTACAACGGGTGTCCACGGATATCCGTGGGAAATCTGGTGTCGATTCGATTGTTGCGCTTCGATTCCAACGGACGTCCGTTGGAATACATGTGATCATTCGAATTTTGCGATTCGATTCCAACGGATGCCCGTTGGAATTTAACAATTTTTTTTAAAAAAAATTAAAATTCTTAAAAATACAAATAAATATGAAAGATTTTTCAAAATACAAATACATATGAAAACAATAAAAAAAATAAGTCTACATAGAATCTTCATCACTTTCATCATCCGGAGTTGTATCATAGTCCGAAACGAATTCGTCTATATCGTCTTGTACGTGTGACGAATCATCAAGTAACTCGTCGTCTATGTCAGGAAGTGCAAGTGTCTCGTAATCATCATCTAGTCGGATGGGAAGAACCGGATCTTCGAGTTGCTCTTGCATTGGCTCATCGAGATCTTGTGTTGTCGACGAATCCACGATTAATCTTCGTAGGTTAATCTTCAAAACAACCGACCATTGATCTTTCCGTCGCCGTTTCACCGATGTCGCAGAATGTTTCGGATGTGGAATGAAGCACCTGCTCTGTGTGATCTGAAAGTATAAAAGGATCGTACTTTGTATATGAACGTTTCGGGTTTATGTCAACACCTCCCCATCGATTTTTCTGTGAGCCGCGTCCCGACGTTGTATCAAACCAATCACATCTGAATATGATTGTTTTCAACCCGACTAATCCTGGATACTGGAGTTGGAAAATCTGACGAAGAACCCCAAAGAAATCAGGATCTTCCGATGACCTGCTTTTTATACAAACTCCGTAATTGAACGTGGATTTATGTTTTCCATGATCGTAAGTGTGAAACGTGTATCCTCGGACAAACATTATCGGCCAGCAAATGACTTTTCTTCCAGGTCCCTGTGATATATCTCTGATCCATGCCGAAATTCTATCACTGCATGACCGAATCTGTGCATAAAAATTAAATCGATATATGACATATTAAATTAATTACTTCGATATGAGTAATACAAAAACACATGCATGCATATATATATATATATAGAATACTTACGTAGTCTCGAAGCCAAGATGCATAACGTTGTTCCTTCATTTCTTCAAGTTCCTCCCCACTTAGATTAGGAGATGTTGCCAAAACATCCTCGTCAAAAAGTCTTAAAAAACATGTTGTTAGCAAATATATAAATATGTAATTAATTAATTTCTAAAGTCATTTGAGATTAAAAATGTGTACCTTTCGTATGGCTTAAGTTCTTCACAATTCAACAGTACATATGTGGCGATGTGATTGTACTCTTGTACAGTTAACCAATACTTCAGATTTGTCTCCGAGGCGTCCAGTAGGTTGAAAACTTTCGGGAATAAATCCGAAACATGAATCATATTGGTAGAGATAACTTCTATCGTCTTCGTTGATAGCCCTCCTTTTCTTCGTCTGAATATGAGATTCAAAATAGAAAGAACTGAAGTAGGAGATCTCCTCTAACAAATACTGTTTGACGATAGATCCTTCCACTGCTGCTTTGTTTTTTGCCTTCTTCTTCAGATGGAAAAAAATCGCTCAAATGGATACATCCATCTAAACTGTACTGGACCACCGTATATCGCCTCATCTGGTAAATAAATAGGTAAATGTTCCATCACATCAAAAAATGAAGGTGGAAATACCTTTTCTAATGCGCAAAGTATCTCAGGGATGTTGCCTTTCAAAACCTCTAGGTTACTTCTTCTCAAAGATCTTGCACATATATCTCGGAAGAATGTGCTGATACCGCATGACGCTCCGTGGACACTGGGTTTCAATAGCTCCGCAAATGCAATAGGAATGAGTCTTTGCATGAATACATGGCAATCATGACTCTTCATTCCCATAAGCTTTAATGAATCAGTATCAACGTATCGCACCAACTTGGATGCATAAAGCTTTAATGAATCAGTATCAACACATCGCGCTAATTTGGATGCATATCCATCAGGGAATTTAACCTCTTCTTTTAACCATTTAAACAAGACCGTTTTACCTGGTCTTGTGAGTCTGAATATCGGCACAGGTGCGTGAGCATCACGTGTCAACTCTAACTCTTTTCTCTTGCATATATCTTTCAAGTCCTTCCTCGAGTTGATGTTATCTTTACTTCTCCCTGGCACATTCAGAACGGTGTTGATGATGTTATAAAAAAAGTTTTTATCTTTATGCATAACATCCAGATTGTGTCGAAGCGTTAGCGAACTCCAGTAAGGCAAATCCCAAAAAATACTACGCTTATACCAGTTATACCAATCACCAAATCATTTGCACTTCTTATGCCCAAAATTCCCTCCACATTGCACAGAAGCTTGCAAATCATCCAAATATCCAATATTTATTCGCTCAGAATAAATTTGCTCTCCGGTTTGCATAACAGGACCTTCCTCAGTAACGATTTTACCTTTGGTAAAAACCGTACGATTTTGTCTGAATGGATGATTCCTTGGAAGAAATCTGCGATGACAGTCAAACCAGCACGACTTTCTCCCATGTC